AATCTACAATTTATGTGTATATTTTAGAACATCTCTGAGATGTTTAAATATTGTGATTTTGTCGGCATTTTCCTGACTGTTATAATAAATTAATTTCAACTCTGGCTCCACCTAGTGGTTAGACAATATGTTCCTGACCAGAGAGAGCAGAATGGTAGCCAAGGACTCTGCCAAAGCTCAAAGTAAATTTGCCCCTAATCTATGTGAAGTAAAAACATATGTGTATTATAAATTCTAGTTATATTATAATAGTAATACATGTAGAATATTACAATGACATGCAATGCTTATTGTAAATTTCCATTTTGTATATGTCAGCTTTTTAAATTTTCATGCACTGCAATCAGCATTTCTTGTTTATCATGATTGACAACACTGTACATAATCTTGCTGTATTGGAATGAAATAACAATTGGATAAATAATTCAACTTATCCAATCCTCAATCCCTCCTAACGTATATAGGTTTTCTCTATAACTCCGTGTGTTTTAAAAAGTTTCAAAACGTAAAAAAAAATTTAATGTTTCAAAAAAGTAAAAAATATCTAGAAAAAAATAAAAAAAAGTAGTAAAAATGAAAAAAAAAAATTTCATGTATTCCCTAAATTTTGTAATATAAAAAAAAATTGGAAAATAACAAAAAAAAAATGCCAAGTTGCTCAGAAATTAAGAAGGCTCATATATGAGTGGAAGTATGAAAGACCACTAAAGCCCCAAAACCTACTGAGACCATAAGACATTATAGTGTAAAATTACATGCCAGTGAATACTGATTGGTGTGAGACCTAAAGTACTCACGACGAAGCTTATGGAGTATAAGCTTTTACTTCAATTTTTTTGCTTAATTAAAATAATTCTTGTTTTTCTTTTATTGAATTACTTTACTATTAACTCATATTCAAAGGGTTTCTGATATTAACCAATGTCATATTATGTTTATATTTCTCTCAGTTCTCAAACTGGGGTCTGCGAGGGATAAATGGGTAGGGTGGGTGTGTCTGAACAGCTGTTAGTTTTGGCGTTATAGACTAACGTTGTTCTTGGCGCTGTTGTGTCATTTAGTTCTTTGAATTTCACTTACTTATTGGACACGAAACGAAAGGGCCTTATGGATATCTTAGTATTTTTCCTATTCTTGTAGGGAAAAAATAGCCTTTAACTACAGGATCAATTGCTAAAAAATTTTCTACGGCTACAGATTGTTCAAAAATTTATGTGGTCTCTATGAAATTCGTATTTATCTTTTCTGTGTGATGACGTCATTAAAATAAAATATTTGCATCATGTCTTTGTTCCATGACCGCATTTCAGCGATCACACTAAGGTTAATAGGCATCATTTAGTTTCAATAAATCAGTAACACAATTTGTGTTGCAATTTGAGGAGTGGCAGCTGATGCGAATGTTTTCCAAACAGCTATATGCTATGTTCTGTATTGTGTTTTAGGTTTGAAATTATTGGGGTCCGCAATTGGTCCAGAGAAGTATAAGGGGTCCGTAGGCATAGTAACTTTGAGAACAATTTCTTTAGATGGATAATTTTATGAAGCTAAATTTGCAGTTTATGTGCAATGTCTCAAACCTGATGCTACAGCTCATTATTGAAAGCAATCTAGTCGAGATACAGACTAGTCGAGTCGTTTTTGTTTCTAATTTTTGTCTTTTGATTGGGATTTTTGAATATGACTTTGTGGATTAAACACCCATTATAAGTGGTTATTTTCATACAAATCTGCTTTTCAAATCAGTCTCTTTGTTTGTACTGTATAGAGCAGGGTGGTCTAAGGTTGCCGGCTCCGGGAGCCACAAAATTATTTTTGCGTTGTTCGCGGGCCACAATAATGCAAAGAATATAGGTAAACGGTGCAATACAAATCAAACATTTTATTGGGCAAACGCATTGATCACTATTTGGCATTTATCAAGCTAAAACATGTAAAAACTTACTAAAACCTGCAAAGGCCTTCTTCAGCGTTCTTTTCAAACTCATGTTTACGAAATAACTTATAAATAACTGCAGATTCATTAATTACCGAATGTAAGCTAACAGGTGGGTAAATACTGAATTTTCTGACAAATAGGCAGCATTTTTTCTAATACTGTTTAGGGTGGTTGAAAAAAACACACGGCGTGATTTATATTGTTGGGCCATAACGTTGATATTTAGTTATTAGGCATAGCCAACCCAGGCTAATAAAATTCGCAATCGATTTTTAGTTTTCTATAATGCCAAAATTGTTAGCATATATTTCTGACCGAGAAGATTAAAAAAAAATGTAGACTGCCAAGCACATCATTAAACTTCGCTAGTTGCCTCAGCCGATTATAACACTAATCAATTCAGCGACATTAGTGATGTAACAATATGTCCGATAATTCTTCTGGTTAATTTTATATGAAAACAACACCAAATGCGATTCTTTGACTACTTTCCGAATGTGACGCGGGCCACAGATTATGAAGCTGCGGGCCACATTTGGTTTTGACCACCCTGGTATAGAGTGAATAATACCGATGAACTGATGATGAAAATTCATTTTTGAAATTCTCAGTGATTCCTGTATTTAAATGCCTAACTTTTGCTTGATATGTTATTTTAATTATTGTAGAAGTGAAATATTTCAATAAAGAGCTCATAACTTATGATACAAAATGAAATGACCAACTCAACACTTTCGCCTGCATAATCTAACAGGTCTTCAGTCAAAAACGTTTATGAATTGAATTTACTTTTAATTCTGCGTTATTCCGAAGCTTTGGATCCTTTGGGAACTCATGAAAAGATCGGTCAGGTTGTTTCTCAGACGTTACAGAGCACCCGCATTCGACACAGTACCATATTCAATTATTCCATCGTCTTATAGCTGTAATAGGCCTATGCTGATTATTGAGTCGAAATAAACTTATACTAGTCTCGTAGTGGCCAGTCTTTGAAAGAAAGTAAACAGAAGAACCTGATACCCCAATCTACGTTTGTGCATGGACTGTTATGAAACATTCAATCTATTTACAGAGTTTGTTTTTTTCAGTAACAATTTTTTGTCACTGTTTTTTGCAATGAAATTGAACCACAGCATCACCATATTACGTCAACGAGTGTTTTTTATTCCATATTTTTGCAGGAAAAGCACCGTTATGATACAAATACGCGTCTCACATTTTAAAATTCATTTGAAAGGCTTGGCGGTGTGGCGCATCGTGCTAAGCGTTAGGAATACGCTCGCCACCTCATCTCTGATTACTCTTCGTAGGTTCGCATCGCATGCAGGGATAATCATGTGCGAGAGGATTGCTGGACTCCTCGCCACCGTAGGGTGATTAACGTAACCGCTGGTCGAGAGGCCGTGGTTCACCATATGATTAAGTCGTCTAATCGGGTTTCCTCTCCCCAGGATAAATATGTAAATTCTATCCTAAGGTACTGTAATTGCCTGATTTTACATCGTTTCTTTGTTTTATTGTGTTCTTTTGACTGTTTTTGGTGGACGGGCACGTACTTGTACGTTTATAACTTTTTTATTAAGTTATGCCCGTCCTCCAGGTCGTCTGTGTTTTGTTTGTCCGTTTGTTGTTGTTTTAATCCTATCGGAGTGATTAAAATAAAATTGATTGGTTGATTGAGAGCTATGCACCTTTCCCCGACCTTTGAACCCGGAATATTCTTCCTATACTTTACCATTGCAATATTCTCGAGGCTATTTTAAAAGTGCTTTTGTGTGTTGGCGCCCGTAAAATGGGGTATGTGTTTCAAACCATCATTATGAATCATCGCATACCGGTTCAACGATCTGTTTTTTAAAAGTACCGTTAAAGAATTTTAGCCCAGTCTATCACAGCTATTTCTACACTAATTTTTAATATTGCAATTAAATTAAAACTCCTAGAAAGACAGAGTGACCATTGAAATATCTGATTTATATTTAAGTTTCCGAAACACAACTGAAAACTAACGAATTGTCTATTAGAAAAATATGCCTTCGAAGCGACAGAAACTAGAAGTAAATTATCTATTAAGATGAGTTAATCTTGCTTAAAATTATTACTAGCGGTTCTTCCCGCTATAAATGAGAAACAAAACAACAAATATCACGACAAAATTACCCTCCAAGTGATGTATTTACTCGGATTCTCGCAAACTTTCGAAAATGGCAGAGAGTTCAAAAACGCAAATACGAGGTAATGTTTACAACCACGCTTGAAAATCTGTCCGAGTGAGAAAAGTGTCTGAGCGGATGCGAAATGGGGACATTGTTACGTCACTTTGTGAATCTTGCTGATTGGCCAATGTCACGAAGTAAACAAGGTAGTCAATGCTCGGGGAAAGGTCCATGTTCAGTGGGACTTATCGGTAACGCTCCGCTGCACACAATTTGACCCCGCCTATTATCAACAGCACAGCTGTTCTGAGTGCAGCTGCATTCCCAGCTGACTTCGCCGGTCCAAAGCGCGACCTTGCGTTGGTCAGTTTTATTTGCTATACCTGTATACTGTGTTTATTAAAGGCGGTTAAAGTTGGTAGAATAAGAAGCTTCTTGAGTAGTTACTTCTGGGAGGATGGTAGAAAGACAGTTCAAAAGTTTGCCATAACTGCAGTACAGAAATAGTCTACGTGTAATATTTTGAGCTTTAGTGGAACAGTCTGACAGTGGAAGGTTTAGGAAATTTTTGAATTTCAAGATTTTACTTCGGTGTGTTGTCATTGATTTTTATATACTCGTTATTTCACGTTTCCAAGATATTATTAAGGATATTTGAAATTGAAACAAACTGCAATTCACGACACCGGCTGTCGGGCTGTGGCTTTCATAGCGAAATGCTGTTTAATAAATTTCGTAGTTGCGTGTAGCTCGCCTCTCTTTGCAAGTAAAAGATAAAATTTTCAAATCAAACAGCTTCCCCCTATTGCTAGCTGCGCCGCTGCCGGCACGTATATAGATACGGTATATGATAATTTTTTTCAAATCTAGATACTGTATATTCATACTGAATTATACTACACCCATTTCTAATTTTCCATTATTTATTGTTTCTCAGTATATCATAATGGATGTTTCATTGATAGCAGACGCAACGAATAACTTGATAGTATATCTGGCAATAATCATAGAGATTGCTCATTATACTCTGGTAATTTACGGAGTACGGAATGACTGGGGTGAGTTGATCATATATAGACAGTTTTTTACGTTTCAAAAAATGGGGTTCCGACCAGTGGCGGGATTCCAATTTTTTGTCAGCCGGTTCCATCACACAAATATCATATTTTTCAGCCAGTTCTGTTACAAAAAGTCATGTTTTTTCAGTAATGTCAACCGGTCCGCAGATCTCATAAAATTCCGTGAGACGGTTCTATAGAACCGGTGCGAACCGGTTGAATCCCACTACTGGTTCCGACCCGCAGACTCAGAAGGATGGCTTGATGCTTTCTAAAGGCCTATTCCCTATCAGTAGTTGATACCTCCTAAATAATAATACTTTGGGTAAAACATAGAAACCCAAAATAAATCTATCGCATGCTTTTTAACTGAGATATACTCTAGTGTAGGGGTTCTCAAACTTGTAGTGTTATGGAACCTGGGAAGTAGTTGACTAGTTAGTACAGAGCCCCACTATTAGTTTCAAAAAATAAAAACACAAGTGTTATTTGCCGATTATTGTTTCTGAATAAATTAAAATTACTTTATTTAATTCGCTTGTAAATTTTATTGATGACGTTATATTTTTTTTGGACAGTTACAAAATCAGCCAATTCAGTATTTCAATAAGTAAGTGAATAGCTCGGAAAGCCCTTGAGATTCAATCACAGAGCCCTTTAAAAAAATTATTTCAAATTCAGATGTCAACAAGGCAAGGAAACAGCCAGTTGCCACATGGTTGATGTCGATAGCTTGTTGCTACGGTGGAGGGATGATCATAAGTGTTTGTGTAGGAAAACCTGCTCTGACTCCTCTATCCAATAATCAGGTATGGATTTGTTTTATTGTTAAGCTCAGGGGTGTGCAATCTGCGGTCTGTGGCCAAATGCGGCCCACAAGGAAAAATAATGCGGTCTGCAATTTTATAGTTGTTTAATCTAGTACGTGAGAGTAATTCCGATCCATTTGCATTGTAAAGTCTATACCCGAGTCCAATTTATTATCTATGACCTTACAATGCCCTAACAGCTAGGTTGTGCGAACAACGCATGTCATAAGATCAATAACCAATATTTTTGTGTCTACTAGAAACCTCTGTTAGAATAATGGTGTGGCCCGCGGTTTCACCCACTTATTTGTACCCTTGTATTGAAAGCTGCACATCCCTGAATAGTTAATCTGAGTAAAAAAGCATATGCTATGCTTTCCAAACTGGTACGAGGCCTTCAGGCGGTCGAGTTCACGATCCAGAGATCGCTATAGGCAAGATCGCTATAGCGACCAATTTAGTCGTAATTTCGACCTCTGTTCTAACCTTGCAGAACCGTAGTGTTCTGCGGAACACAGTTTGAGAAACGCTGGAGTAGGCTGTGCTAAACCGGAAAGATTTCAATCATTCGTAAATTTGTAGATCCTTACGTATCGACAGGTATTGGTGGCAATATAGCATATGATAGCCTGGACATATAAATATTAATTTTTCATTTCAGTCAGTCCTCATGATGACAATAGTATGGTGGCACATCTTCTACTCTCCCAGAGATGTCATTTATAATTTATTGTCATGGAAACCAGCGATGTTAGTGATTGTTCTGGGAAAAGAAATGATCCGAACAAGAAAAATTATAAAAGGTTTGCTATATATTTGTTTACACTTTCTGATATTTGATGTTTGTTTAAAATTTGCATCAAACTTCGCAATTCCAGCAGTTTAGGAATGATTTTCATATTTATATCAGGGAAAAGGATTGTTGATAAGACAGCTTAATAATATGACGTACCTTCGCCTCTCTTTCAGTTACAAGTCTGTGTTGGGTATGGTGTAAGTTAGCCAGTCATTTGTTTCAGATTCCAGGACAAATTTAATTTGTAAGAACTTTATTTCATGACACACGGAAATACGCTGTGTTCCACTGTGCTTGTTTTTCTTCCGTAGTCTTGGTTCTCAGTTAAGGCCAGCATATATTTAAGCATTGATACATGTGCTGCGTGCTGGTATGAATGCCAAGCGTTGCTCTCTTGTTATTCCAAACAACGTTTTCGTAATTCAGGTATTTCTGAAGGTATTGTTCACTTCAAAAAATAATTTGTTTCACTACGATTCTCACACGACAACACTTTATTTCGCTGTGCTCATCTCCACGTATGTGTAATTATTGGAATTTTACTCTCTTGTTATTTCAAACAATTATTTTCATAATTTAGGAGTGAAACTTGGTCGTGGAGCTTTCCCAGACTCTCTCTTGATCTGTACTATTCTTGGAATGTTTGGAGCCTGCGGAGGGGGGTTTGTCAAAAATGCTGCAACGTTTGTGAGGAAACAATGGAATCATGAGACCGTGAAATCTATTCATTTGGCGACGTGAGTATTGATTTGTTACAAATCGAGACATAAAAATTACGGTAATTATTACGGTAGTTAGTAGCAGGAGTAAAGATTTTGAAATCTTTAGAGCAGACACACAATCAAGTTTACAATTCCAAAAAAGTTTAAATATGGATTCCACCATGGAACAAAATTCAATCTTTTGACTCCAATTTCTAAATTTCACTAAAATAATAAAAGTTAATAAGATGCTATAAGCTAGTGCTACTAAAATTTGTGGTAACTCTGGCTCCATTAAACCCGGTAGGCTTTGCTCCATGGCTTTGACTCCAGCTCTGATAGTGACATTCATATATTTTCTAAAATGAAAGAACGCGTTGTTAGTGAGCTTGATACATAAGGGAACCCGTTCTAGAATTCTGAGTCGCTCTTTGGGAACGTGAAATGGTTTTCTAAGATTAGGGAACCAGTTTGACACAAAAGAGAACCCGTTCTTACAATTTTGAATTTACTTACTGGCAATTTACCATAATATCCTATTTTTTTCAGAGTAACAAAGCTCAGTCTTCTGTTCTCGCTACTTTACAATCTACAACTTCTAGGAATCCTGCCGATCTCATTCAACACTGTTGTTCTTCTACAACTAACTGTGATGTTCCTGATATCGGTAAGACATAATGGATTATAGGCAATTAGCCCATGATTTAATATGGCCTGCTGAACTTGAGTGAAATGGATTAACACTTTGTCTTTTTACCTTTTTGCGCTCTAATACGGCCAGGCCAATTGGATACTCCCGTAATGTGTACCAGGTTAAGGGTTAGGCCGTAATTTGATTTCCTTATTTTAGTTCTATTACGAGTACGGGGATTGTCTGTGTTAGCCAAGTGAATATACCCCCTGCCCAAAGGTTTCAGTCACTTTACACAACTTGATGTAAAGTAGGCGAACAAAATTAGTTACCTTCATATTGGTACACATACTTCTGAAGCGCCTCAAATTGTAATGTCATTATCACAGTTTAAGTATGTATATAAGATTGTATAAGAATTCAAATATATCGGTATCTTAATTTCATGTGCAAGTATCAGCCCCTTGTGCCCATTTCCCTCTCCTAGTCTGCGAATATCCTTTGGCTTCTAATTTTGGACCCTGGCCAATCAACTTCGGGAACCAATGTAATAGATAACATATTTTGAACTATGTCATGATAAAATTATAACATGCAAAACCGAAATTCAGGAATGTTTACAAAACTTTAAACTAGGTTTGAATATAAGCACTACATGTTTATTCAGCATGCTTTCGAACTGTAATTATTCTCGACAGCAGGCCTGCCTAATGTCTTTTATGGTTGCAGTTCACTTTCACATGAGAAAGTTTTTTGTAGGTTGCAAACTCAAATACCAACCAAGTTTTGATTTACCTTGGAAATAAAATAGTTTATTTACATAGTGAATCAAATCCAAAAATACTGAGTAGAGCAGGCGAAATATTTGAATATCGTATTGATACTAAAATGTTAGAGCTGCAGTTTACTATTCGAATATCTGGTAACACATTACCTGGGCATGTCACTGAATCAAATCCTTGCCTTGTATTTGTACCTATGTATTTGTATGTATTTATGTATTTATTCCCCCCCATTAAATAGTCTTCCCATTAAAAAAAAATTACAAACTTATTTATAGCGCTGGCCTTGGAATTCCCTGCAGGATTCGAACCTATGAACTCATGCAGGTTACTTAGAGGTTAGATAGCAGGCATTTCAAGTCCTATGACACGTTTAGACCAACTCTACATATAAGAAGTTTAACAAATTCTCGTTATTTCAGGCTTCTTCGAAGTTTGGCGTCAACTTTGATTCGTTCCATCGAATTGAGAAGATAATCACAAGTTGGGTGATAGATTATTCTGCGTATGGGGGAGCTGAGGAGGAAAAATCCCCTCAGAAAAAAGCTGGGGAGGAAAAATCCCATGAAAAGAAAAAAGATTCTTTGAAAAAGAAAGAATAAGCCCACAGGTTTTCAAATTTAATTTACTTCCTGTAATACATCGGATTATCTGTTTAATTTAAATCAGGATATTTTTTCCGATGTTGACACTCGTATTTCCCTCTTTCAACGTTAATTTTAACAGTTTTTATAATTCTGTACTAAAAATCCCAACGCATTGCATTAATGCAATTTATGATTGTGTGACTGTATTATAAATATTAAATTATATATTATTATAACGCAGCTAAAATTTTAACTTAGTCTTCCCTCTCTCAATGTTCATATTGTTAATTTATTTCATTTTTTAAAACAAATATTTTTTTATTTAAATGAGTATATTACAATCAATTGTTTCAAATACTTTAGTGCAGCGTTTCTCAAACTGTGTTCTGTTCCACATGCTTTCTGAAATTGTTCTGCAGAACAGGGACGAAATTGGTCGCCATGGCGAACAACTCATGTCAGGATCAGAAAAACCAATATTTTTGTGTCTACTAGAAACCTCTGTTAAAATAATCGTGTGGCCTGCGGTTTCACTCACTTATTTGTACCCCTTGTATTGAAAGCTGCACATCCCTGAATAGTTAATCTGAGTAAAAAAGCATATGCTATGTTTTCCAAACTGGTACGAGGCCTTCCGACGGTCGAATTCACGATCCAGAGTCCCTTACAGCCAAGATCGCTATGGCGACCAATTTGGTCGTAATTTCAACCTCTGTTCTAACCTTGCAGAACGGTAGTGTTCTGCGGAACAGAGTTTGAGAAACGCTGGAGTAGGCTGTGCTAAACCGGAAAGTTTTCAATCATTCTTAAAATTGTAGATCCTCACGTATCGACAGGTATCGGTGGCAACATAGTATATGATAGCCTGGACATATGAATAAATATTAATTTTTGATTTCAGTCAGTTCTCATGATGACAATAGTATGGTGGCACATCTTCTACTCTCCCAAAGATGTCATTTATAATTTATTGTCATGGAAACCAGCGATGTTAGTGATTGTTCTGGGAAAAGAAATGATTCGAACGAGAAAAATTATGAAAGGTATGCTATATATTTACACTTCATATGTTGACACTTTCTGATATTTGATGTTTGTGAAAAATTTGCATCAAACTTCGCAATTCCAGCCATTCAGGAATGATTTTCATATTTATATCAGGGAAAAGGAATGTTGATAAGACAGCTTAATAATATGACGTACCTTGGCCTCTACTTCAGTTACAAGTCTGTGTTGGGTATGGTGTAATTTAGCCAGTCATTTGTTTCAGATTTCCGGACAAATTTAATTTGTAAGAACTTTATTTCATGACACACGGAAATACGCTGTGTTCCACTGTGCATGTTTTTTTTCCGTAGTCTCGGTTCTCAGTTAAGGCCAGCATATATTTAAGCATTGATACATGTGCTGCGTGATGGTATGAATGCAAAGCGTTGCTCTCTTGTTATTCCAAACAACGTTTTCGTAATTCAGGTATTTCTGAAGGTATTGTTCACTTCAAAAAATAATTTTGTTCCACTACGATTCTCACACGACAACACTTTATTTCGCACACAATTTGACCCCGCCTATTATCAACAGCACAGCTGTTCTGAGTGCAGCTGCATTCCCAGCTTGACTTCGCCGGTCTAAAGCGTGACCTTGCGTTGATCAGTTTTATTTGCTATACCTGTATACTGTGTTTATTAAAGGCGGTTAAAGTTGGTAGAATAAGAAGCTTCTTAAGTAGTTACTTCTGGGAGGATGGTAGAAAGACAGTTCAAAAGTTTGCACATAACTGCAGTACAGAAATAGTCTACGTGTACTATTTTGAGCCTTAGTGGAACAGTGGAAGGTTTAGGAAATTTTGTAATTTCAAGATTTTACTTCAGTGTGTTGTCATTGGTTTTTATATACTCGTTATTTCACTTTTTTAAGATATTATTAAGGATATTTGAAATTGAAACAAACTGCAATTCACGACACCGGCTGTCGGGCTGTGGCTTTCATAGCGAAATGTTGTTGAATAAATTTCATAGTTGCGTGTAGCTCGCCTCTCTTTGCAAGTAAAAGATAAAATCTCACTTTGCAAGTAAAAGATAAAATTTTCAAATCAAACATCTTCCCCCTATTGCTAGCTGCGCCGCTGCCAGCACGTTCATATATACGACATATGATAATTTTTTTCAAATTTAGATACTGTATATTCATACTGAATTATACAACACCCATTTCTAATTTTATTGTTGTATCTCAGTTAGTATATCATAATGGATGTTTCATTGATAGCAGACGCAACGAATAACTTGATAGTATATCTGGCAACAATCATAGAGATTGCTCATTATACTCTGGTAATTTACGGAGTACGGAATGACTGGGGTGAGTTGATCATATATAGACAGTTTTTTACGTTTCAAAATATGGGGTTCCGACCAGTAGTGGGATTCAAATTTTTTGTCAGCCGGTTCCATCACACGAATGTCATATTTTTTTTAGCCGGTTCCATTGCAAAAAGTTATGTTTTTTTCAGTAATGCCAACCGGTCCACAGATCTCATAAAATTCTGTGAGACGGTTCTATAGAACCGGTGCGAACCGGTTGAATCCCACTACTGGTTCCGACCCGCAAACTCAGAGGGATGGCTTGATGCTTTCTAAAGGCCTATTCTCTATCGGTAGTTGATACCTCCTAAATAATAATACTTTGGGCAAAACATAGAAACCAAAATGAATCTATTGCATGCTTTTTAACTGAGATATACTCTAGTGTAGGGGTTCTCAAACTTGTAGTGTTATGGAACCCGGGAATGGCCCCACAATTAGTTTCAAAAAATAAAAACACAATTGTTATTTGCCGATTATTGTTTCTGAATAAATTAAAATTACTTTATTTAATGACTCCGCTTGTAAAATTTTATTGATGACGTTATAGCTTTTTGGACAGTTACAAAATCAGCCAATTAAGTATTTCAATAAGTAAGTGAATAGCTCGGAAAGCCCCTGAGTTTCAATCACAGAGCCCTTTGAGAAAATTATTTTATATTCAGATGTCAACAAGGCAAGGAAACAGCCAGTTGCCACATGGTTGATGTCGATAGCTTGTTGCTACGGTGGAGGGATGATCATAAGTGTTTGTGTAGGAAAACCTGCTCTGACTCCTCTATCCAATAATCAGGTATGGATTTGTTTTATTGTTAAGCTCAGGGGTGTGCAATCTGCGGTCTGTGGCCAAATGCGGCCCACAAGGAAAAATAATGCGGCCTGCAATTTTATAGTTGTTTAATCTAGTATGTGAGAGTAATTCCAATCCATTTGCATTGCAAAGTCTATACCCGAGTCCAATTTAATATCTATGACCTTACAATGCCCTAACAGCTAGGTTGTGCGAAGCGAACAACGCATGTCATAAGATCAATAACCAATAATTTTGTGTCTACTAGAAACCTCTGTTAAAATAATGGTGTGGCCCGCGGTTTCACCCACTTATTTGTACCCCTTGTATTGAAAGCTGCACATCCCTGAATAGTTATTCTGAGTGAAAAATCATATGCTATGCTTTCCAAACTGGTACGAGGCCTACATGCGGTCGAATTAACGATCCAGAGATCGCTATAGCAACCAATTTAGTCATAATTTCGACCCCTGTTCTAACCTTGCAGAACGGTAGTGTTCTGCGGAACGCAGTTTGAGAAACGCTGGAGTAGGCTGTGCTAAACCGGAAAGATTTCAATCATTCGTAAAATTGTAGATCCTTACGTATCGACAAGTATTGGTGACAACATAGCATATGATAGCCTGGAAATATAAATGAATTATAATTTTTCATTTCAGTCAGTTCTCATGATGACAATAGTATGGTGGCACATCTTCTACTCTCCCAAAGATGTCATTTATAATTTGTTGTCATGGAAACCAGCGATGTTAGTGATTGTTCTGGGAAAAGAAATGATTCGAACAAGAAAAATTATGAAAGGTTTGCTATTAATTTCTTTACATTTTCTGATATTTGATGTTTGTGAAAAATTTGCATCAAACTTCGCAATTCCAGCCGTTTAGGAATGATTTTCATATTTATATCAGGGGAAAGGAATGTTGATAAGACAGCTTAATAATATGACGTACCTTCGCCTCTCTTTCAGTTACAAGTCTGTGTTGAGTATGGTGTAAGTTAGTCATTTGTTCCAGATTTCAGGACAAATTTAATTTGTAAGAACTTTATTACATGACACACGGAAATACGCTGTGTTCCACTGTGCTTGTTTTTCTTCCGTAGTCTCGGTTCTCAATTAAGGCCAATTTATATTTAAGCGTTGATACATGTGCTGCGTGCTGGTATGAATGCAAAGCGTTGCTCTCTTGTTATTCCAAACAACGTTTTCGTAATTCAGGTATTTCTGAAGGTATTGTTCACTTCAAAAAATAATTTTGTTCCACTACTATTCTCACACGGCAACACTTTATTTCGCTGTGCTCATCTCCATGTGTGTGCAATTATTGAAATTTTACTCTCTTGTTATTTCAAACAATTATTTTCATAATTTAGGAGTGAAACTTGGTCGTGGAGCTTTCCCAGACTCTCTCTTGATCTGTACTATTCTTGGTATGTTTGGAGCCTGCGGAGGGGGGTTCGTCAAAAATGCTGCAACATTTGTGAGGAAACAATGGAATCATGAGACCGTGAAATCTATTCATTTGGCGATGTGAGTATTGATTTGTTACAAATCGAGACATAAAAATTACGGTAATTATTACGGTAGTTAGTGACTGGGCTATGGAGTTTCAATTTATTGCAAACTTCTGGCACATTCGAGCAGGAGTAAAGATTTTGAAATCTTTAGAGCAGACAGACAATCAAGTTTACAATTCCAAAAGAGTTTAAATATAGATTTCACCATGAAACAAAATTCAATGTTTTGACTCCAATTTCTAAATATCACTAAAATAATAATAAGTTAATAAGATGCTATGAGCTAGTGCTACTAAAATTTGTGGTAACTCTGGCTCCATCTAACCCGGTAGGCTTTGCTCCAACTCCAGCTCTGATAGTGGCATTCATACATTTTCTAAAATGAAAGAACCCATTGTTAGTGAGCTTGATACATAAGGGAACCCGTTCTAGAATTCTGAATTGCTCTTTGGGAACGTGAAATGGTTTTCTAAGATGAGGGAACCAGTTTGACACAAAAGAGAACCCGTTTTTACAATTTTGAATTTAGTTACGGGCAATTTACCATAATATCCTATTTTTTTCAGAGTAACAAAGCTCAGCCTTCTGTTCTCTCTACTTTACAATCTACAACTTCTAGGAATCCTGCCGATCTCATTCAACACTGTTGTTCTTCTACAACTAACAGTGATGTTCTTGATATCGGTAAGATATAATAGATTATAGGCAATTAGCCCATGATTTAATATGGCCTGCTGAACTTGAGTGAAATAGTTTA